TTTTCAAAGAAACAGCAGACAGACCTGCAGATGGGGCTGGTGGGATCCACTTCGTGTGGTATTTTATATGCCTAGCACTGAGGCAGCTCCCCAGCAAAGTCCTATCCACAAATAATAGGGTCTTGGCACCATCTTCTGCTGCCCAAGGTTGGGATAATGTTGGTGTAAGTAGACCTTAGCCATCTAGACAGATACTAAGCTGACTCGCATGTCAGTCTCACAGCTTCAAGGGCCCATGTGTCAGTAATACATGACAAAATACAAGTGTGTCACACTAATGTGCATGTACCTAGAAAATTGCAGTGCTCCCATCTGTGAGCACTGGCCTGCTGTTAGTTGTGGTGCCCAAGGTTTGGGTATAGTTAGTAGAGATAGTTCCTTGGCCACTAAAGCTGATTCTAAGGTGAGTCATAGCTGAACCTCAAAGTTGCCAGGATTGTCCAGTCCAGAAAGTTGAGAAAGAGTATCCCATTTCTAAACCAATGCTAGAACTGATACAGTGGAAACTTGGGTATCTCTCAGAGGTACACAGGTCTACAGCTGGTGTGGAAATGCACCTAAAGGGTATATCTGAGCTCAGGACTGTGCTTGGAGCCTTTAGTTTCTACCCATTGCTGGCTTTCACCATGGGAGGCCTGGCATGGAACTCTGAGAAAAAGCTCTGTTCAGCTTTCATGTGGGTCAGTAGAGTCCAGCTGTTTACTGTGCCTCCTGAGGTTGGAGGCAGGGTTTTTGCAGTAGTCTATACCTCAGAGCCTAAAGTTCTCACAACTCAGTCCACAGATACTGGCCTAAAGCTAGAAGCACTGCACTAGATTTCACTGTGGCAGGCCTAGATTTAATTCTCTATCCAGGCTAATCTTCCTGGAGTTGGTGAAGGAGTATCTTTTTCTTTTTTTCATAGCTATTTATTATGTATTTGTAGGGAAAACTTGCTAAATGTTATCTACCAACTGCCAACTTTTATTTTTATTTTTTTGAGACAGAGTCTCATGCTGCAGCTTTGGCTGGTCTGAAACTCACAATGGAAATCAGGTTGGCATCAAACTCACAGAGATCTACCTACATCTCTCTGATTTCTGAGTGCTGGGATTAAAAATTTGTGCCACCCCACCTGGCTCCAAACATTTTTCTTAATAGTTCCTAGGGTCTTTTCTTTTCTCCATCTCTCCTGAGAACCCAGAATAGTGCCTGGCTCATAGTGGTCATTAACTAAGCATTTCTGAGTATATACTTGTACAGCTCTGGTGCTCTGTAGCCTCACTAATAGGGTATTGGCATGACTTTATATGTTTTCAAATATCAGGGTTTTTTTCTGTGGATCTCACTCCTAATCTGACTTGTATTTCACCAAACTCTATATGACCAAATGCTTGTTATATATATAGCTATGTGTTTATTTTCTTTTATAGAAGATTCATCAATCTTGTGCTCATTTTCCTCTTGGTTGCCCACCCCTGTTTCTTACAGATATATGAAATTTCATACATTTAACATTCACACTCTCTAATAGTTATATGTGTAGCAAGTATCTTATCCAGTAGTTTTTCTATCTATTTATGACTTTTATGTTTACTGATTGTGTGCCTTGTGTCATGGCATATGTATAGAAGTCAGAAGATAACTTGTGGAGAATTAGTTCTCTCCTTCTATATGTGGGTCCCAGGGATTGAACCCAGGTCACAAGGTTTTGTGGCAAGTACCTTTATCCACTGACCCATTTTGTTGGCACACTTTATGACACTTTTGATGAACAGGAATTTTTTTTTATTTTAATGCAGCTATATTGGGTAATCATTTCCTTGATGACTACACCTTTTGTACCCTTTAAAAATGTAATATTTTTTAGTTTTTGAAATTAAAATACAATTATATATTTTCCCCCTTCCCTGTCCTCCTTCCAGCCCTTCCTAAGTATTTCCCCTTTGTTCTTTCAAATTCATGGCTTCTTTTTCTTGACTCTACCTTTTGTATCTTAAGAGATAAATACTCTTATGCATTGCTGATAGAAATACAGAAGAATACAACTCCTACAGGGTGAAATTTATATGTAAAAATTGCATCAACATTTACTCTTTCTCTTTGTCTCAGCAATTTCACTTCTTAGAATGTATTTGAAACAAATGTTTGAAAAATACCAAATTATATACATGCATATATACATATATATGTATATATGTATACACACATGACTAATTTTCAGGGCATAATTCAAAATAGCATAAGATATTTTGCTGGATATAAGACAAATATTTCAGTGTTTGTTAGTAGGACAGTATCTGAATAACTATTGTACAATGAAGTATTGTATAAAAGGCAAAAGAATAGTTTTATATTAATGTGGAATAATTTATGGGATATATTATTAAATCTAAAAAAGAAAGTTTCAGACCAGTATTTATATAGGAGAAAGGTGTACCTAATGAATTGTATGTATATATGTATATATAGTTTGAAAAAAAAGGAAATACTAGAACTGTAAGTCAAACTTAATAAGAAATAGTATTTATGGGAAGGAAGGGAATGGAATGAAGGGATCAGGGATGGAATGATACTTCTGTAAAGGTGCTGTATAACCCTTTTTACTTTAGAGCCATATACATGTTTTGCATGATTACAAATGTAATAAAAACTTTAATCAAAAAGGGAAAGGGGCTGGGGGATATACTTCACAGTTGAGTGCTTCTTAAGCGTGCATTAAGCCCTGAATTCAGTCCCCAGGATCACATACACACAAAACTCAAGAAAGAAGAAATCCATAAAATTCAAAAACAGCCTGAAGCAAATAAAGCAAATGATAAACATAGTTGATAGTATAACCACACAGAGAAAATAATTACTGTAGTGACTTTAAAGTAATACATATCTATTACTTACAATACAATATATACGCTAAGGACTGCAAAAAATATAAAAGTATATTCAATCATTTTATTGTTGTTAGCCATATTACTATTGCTTGTGGAATTTTTCAATTATGTGAATATGTTGTTAGAGAAAGTTAATAAACCATCTTGATAATATTTTTAGGATCCGAGGAACCAGAAATAAAGCTCAGTGATAGAGTACTTGCCTAGAAGGCAAGCAGCCCTGGGTTTGATCCCCAGGTCTCCTAAAAGCAACCCTCTAAACAAAATAAAATGCACCACCTTTAATTCCAGCACTCGGGAGGCAGAGCCAGGAGGATCTCTGTGAGTCTGAGGCCAGCCCGGGCTACCAAGTGAGTTCCAGGAAAGGCACAAAGCTACACAGAGAAACCCTGTCTCGAAAAACAAAAAAATAGTAATAATAATAATAATAATAATAATAATAATAATAAAATAAAAGAAATACAAGTCTAAAACCAGAGTTTAAGTATAAACCTTGTCATATTAAATCTGAATTGGAAATGCTCTTATAAATTTAAGATCTATTTTCCTACTCTAAAACACCCCAGCTTTGTCTAATGTAAAGGCTGAGAAGTAACAACAATGAACACTCGCAACAACAGTAGTTTCCACATGCTTTTCATTCAAAGGAACCAGGGATCTTCGGAAAAATAGTCCAAGGTCAAGTTAGAAAATGTGCAAGTATGCTTGGGATAGCTTGCTGTGCCAGGGAATCAGAAAGCAGAATAGGAGCTGCTTTAAGGGACTTCGTATGGGTTCTCAGTGGGACACTTTGGCCACTACCAGAAATAATCACTATATTTAATTGAAATACATACATTATATAATAACACATGATTTCATAATTGTACTGCAGATAACCACTGGTCACCATTAGGTACTTCCAAAGTAATAGTTCCTTACTCTCATAAATAATGAAGAACAGATAGAATCAAGCATTTATCCTGCTTTTCTTATATAAGCTATATTCAGGAAAATAAAAAGTTGATGGTTATAAGAAATAATAGAGTCAAGGAAGCCCCATTTTGTAATTCATAGTAAGTTAATAGAGCTAAACAATAATTACCAATGGATATAAAGCCCATTATATGAAAGGTGAATAGGGGTACATAATAATTGAGGGATGTGACAAGCACCACTTAAATTCACAGATTAATTTCAGCATCACTAAAAATGTACCCAATGAACATTATGTACTTTGGGGCATGGTACAATAGGAAATATACACTTATATGAATTTTTTTGCCTTAAATATTGAACATGAATCTAATTAACTCTTTACAGAAACCATCTTTAATGTAACTTTCTAGAATATTGTAAATGGTCTTTATCTGTTCTGGATAATCTGGTATTTAAGAGCAGTTATATATATGTTGGGCATTTGAAATGCACCAAATTTGACCCAAATTGATTTAAAAAAATAAAAAGGTATATACAAGTGACCAATGACAACAGTGTTAGACTAGATTTAACTGTCAAGAAATACAAGAAATTTTTAACAAGTTATCATCAGAAAATACTTCATTAAATCAATTTGTTTACAAAACAAGTAATGGTTGTATAATATCAATGGGTGGAGGAGAAAAGTTAATGAAGGGATGGGGGATGGGACAGAAAAATGATTTAAAAGTTGTAAGAGCCAAAAACTGATTTAGATCTTGATTAAATAACCAAGTATTTAAAAAGTCACTGAAATAATCAAGGTCATTTAAATATAAATTTGGAATTAAGTAATACTTAGGAATTACTAAGTTCATGAATATGAACATGCCATCCTGGTTCTATTCTTCAAATGTCCTTGTGATTTAGAGGTATGTATACTTGTAGGAACTTGAGGTTTCTGGGTGCCTTACTTTGCCATGTATTGGCGTTGCTCAAGATGCAGTTTTAAGTTACATGCACACTCACATGTACATGCATGTGCTTGTGCATGTGTGCAAGCACACACACACACACACACACACACACACACACACATTTGCTACATGTTATAAAAAACCTTTCCTAAAAGAGGTTCTGTATCTGAGATCCAGAATTTAATTTTTATTAATTTTTAAAAGGTTGTACTGGGGAGGCTTTGTAGAACTTCCATATCTCTTTGTCTTGATCCAGATGAACCCCCAAAGAAGAACAAAGGTGATCCCATGAACAACCTGGAAGGTTTTTACCACGAGACTATAATGAAAAAACGTCTTGAAGAGTTCCAACTTATGAGAGGTGAACCCTTTGCTTCCCACTCACTGGTCTCAGCTACATCAGTGGGTGATAGTGGCACAGCTGAGAACCCATCACTCCTCCAGGACAAGGGAAAACAGGCAGCACAGGGTAAAGGCCCCAGTCACCATGTTGCAAAAGTTATTGATTTTCCACCTGAGCAGTATTGGACTGGGCGTAAGAAGCTGACGCAACCAATAGAATTTATCCCTGAAGATGAGATCCAGAGAAGCCGTTTGTCAGAGGAGGAGATCCGAAACATCCCTATGTTTTCTTCATATAACCCAGGGGAACCAAACAAGGTATAGGCCAAATCAAGAGCACAACATGGGTTCTTTTCACTTTATTTACCTCTACCTAACGGAGCATTTTAAAATTACCTTTGATTATGCCAAAGATTATGACATAGGTATTCTGTTTGTCCTTTACGTTAATCATCATTTTCCACATACTATTTAAGTAGCCTATTTCCTACTATGTTATGTGTGCCTTTCTTAGGTTCTAAAGTCCCCTCAAAATTTTTAAATAATGAGATTTAGCGCATACCCACTAGAAGCTCTGAATTATAGGAAAAGTAACCAACAATTTCCTCGGGATTGGCCACTTGGTTGCAGGTACCATTAACAGCACAAATCCTTAAAGCATTAATTTTTGTTTAATTTAAGAAGACAGAATTAAAAATAGTAACATTCCCTGATTTAAAACAAAAATGGATGGAGGGATATTGGAGTACTTTGACTGACTTTGTTGTTACTCCTGTTCCAAGGGTAGCTTGACTTTTACTTTTTGTCGTGAGCTGTAACTAACACATCAAAGAATAATTATCCCATGAATAAATTAGGGATATACCTAAAGAATTGCATGTATTCTTCATCAATCCCATTTTTCCTTCTTTTCAGATTTAACCACTATTTTCAATTTGCTAGTTCTGTTCCCATGGGTAATTTTATGTATTTACTACATAAAACTGTATGCAAGTATCCCTAACTAATGATAGTTAAATTTATTTTCTTTTACATAATTGTATGAGAAAATATGCATTCAGTGGAACCTATACTCTGGATTTTGAATTTTTATTTTTGTCAAGCTAGCAATATGCATTGTGGTGCTATAGTACTTTAGAGATGCTGGGCAGCCACAGTGATGTACAGCTCACAGTCAGCCATGTATGGTGAGGAGAAACCATTGACACTCCAGAGTACTAGGTTTCTAAACTACAGTGCTCCATAGATTACATATATTAAGTGCATTTCTAACTTAGGATATTTTCAACTTACAAAGGATTTATCAAGATATGACCCTATCTTAACCCAAGTTACATCTTAGATATCCATAAATATTCATAGATATTCATAAATACAATTTAATACATTTTAAAACTATGTAGATGATGTCATACTCTATATATTTTTCTGTTACTACTTTGACTCAATGTACCCAATATTTTAAAATTATATTTCTAATGACACAAGGAACTATTTAGTATTCCACTATAGGAATATGCTGTAACTCATTCGTCCATTTTCTTGATTTATTTCCCCCCATTACTTTACTACTACAGATAAAGCTGTAACAAACATTGTTATACATATTGTCTTTTTTTTTCAGTACTAGAGATTGAACCTAAAACCTTGTGAATACTAGGTAAATTCTCTACCATTGAGATATATCCATAGACTTTTTTTCCACTTATGTTGAAACAAGATTTCACTATTGCATTGGCTAACCTTGAACACACTCTATAGCCCAACTAATCATGAACTTGTGATTTCCCTGCCTTGGCCTCTTAAATCATTGAGATTCTAGCCTTAAAACACCAGGCCTGGCTTGTACACATCTCTATATTACCCATATACAAACATTTCTCCTAGACAATGTTTTTCAAACCTAAGTTACGATTCATAGGTCAGAGCAGCAAGGGTTTATTATTAAGGAAATGAATAGAAGAATAGAATAGAATAACATATCAAAGTGTATCTCATACAATTAAGTAGGAAGAAGGGTAGTATATGTGGGCTACAGTGTTTAATGCATGTTCCTCCTGAAGATCTCAGGCAAAATATTGAGAAATATATCACTCTTTTGTAATAGTTCTCACATTTTAGTGTAAAATGCACTGGAAGAAATTACTCAAATATAGATTGCTGGCCTTCACCACCAGGTTTTTGACTCTGGAAAAGGGTATGAAAATTTGCATTTCCAACATGTTCCCAGGAAATGCTGACAATATTTATCTAAGAGTGGAATTTCAAGAATTACTGTTCTAGGTTGCATACCTAGGAATGAAATTACTGATACAGGGTATCTGTATCTTCCACTTCTAACAAGCTGTATTTCAGAGATTCCCCTCACATCTTTGCCAAGACTTTATATTAGACTTTTAACTTTACTTAATAGTTTGGAAAGGTAATTTATTTTTTACATTTCATATTCCTCATTTCCAATAAAGATATACATGTATTTTTACATTTATTAGCCCTTCTTCTACCCCCTGTGAGTTAGCTTTCTATTCCTTTGTTCATAATTTGATATTTTTGCCTTCTGTATTTATTTATAATGATTATTTTTAATTTTTTAAAGATTTATTTTATTGTGTGTGTGTCACATGTGTAAGAACAAGAAGAAGAGAATTATTTAGATTACTAATTTCTGAGTATTTATTGAAATTAATGGCAGACTACTAGCCATACATCCAGAAATCCCAGAGAACATTAAGCAAGATGAATACCCAAAACTACATCTAAGCATAACAAATTCAAACTATAGAAAGGCAAGGAAAAGAAAAAAAAGGAATACTTTATATAGGATCAAAGAGAATTACATCAGACTTATTACAAGGCAACACAAGCAAGAAGAGAATGGAATGAAATATTTATGTTTAAAGAGAAAAAATCCCACCCACCCAGAAGTCTATCCAGAAAACATCCTTTCAATACAGAGGAAACAGAGTAACAGTTCTCAGATGAACAAGAATGTAGAGAATTTGTCACAATCAAATTATTCTTCTAAGAGTAGGAAAATTTGATAGCTTAATAATTCAGATCTATGTAAAGGAGGAACATAGAGGGAAGAAAACACGAAGATAAAATAAAATTATCTTCTCATTCTGTAAAAAAGAAGCAGAGGGAATACATTTTGTGAAATGAAACTTAGCTTATTACAGAAACCAGTTAAAAATATTACAGTAAAAGAAAATTACAAGCTCCTGTCTTGTGCATAGAAGCAAAAGTCCTAAATCAAAACATTTTGAGTATCACAATGAAATCTATTATTATATATAATTAATATATGCTACTGAAACCATTAATGTTTTCTTCAAATATTTTTAGTTATAACTCAAAGTATTACAAAATGGAATTTATTAATGTGTGAAAATAATTATGAATCATTATCAACAAACATCCAAAGCTGGTTCAGCATTTGAAAATCAGTGTAGATTTTCATTGATTCCATATCTGTAACCTAAATAAGAAAAATCATGTGCTCATTTCATGTGATGCAGAAAATGCATTTGAAAAAAATGCCTTAACGTCCATTCATGTTTTAAAACTCAGTGAACCAGGAAAAAAGGAGAACATCCTCAAGTTAGTGAAGAATAGCTACAACACATCATCAGCTACATCATACCTGGTAGAAAGAAACTAGATACTTAGCTCTTTGGTCCGGAACAAAATAAGAATATCTCCTTTACCCACTCATATTGACAGTATACTGGAAATGTATAAGAAAAGGGAAGGAAATTGAAAGTTCATGGATTAGAAAGAGAAAAAAATACTGTTCACAGGTAATTTTGTCAAAAATCCCAAATAATCAACCAGAAATCAAGCAAACTGCAACTATTAAGTAAGTATAGTTTGGATCATACAAACCTTATGCATAAAAAGTCTGTTTTCAACAACTGAGTAATAGTCCATTGTATAAATGTACCACATTTTCTTTATCCTTTCCTTGGTTGAAGGACATCTAGGTTGTTTCTAGATTCTGGCTATTATTACAAACAATGCTGCTATGAACATAGTTCATCAAGTGTCCTTATGGTATGATTGAGCATCCTTTGGGTATATACCTAAAAATGGTATAGCTGGGTCTTGTGGTAGAATGATTTCCAGTTATCTGAGAAACTGCCACACTGACTTCCAAAGTGGCTGTACAAGTTTACATTCCCACGAGCATTGGAGGAGTGTTCCCCTTGCTCCACATTCTCTCCAGCATGAGCTGTCACTTGTGTTTTCAATCTTGGGCATTCTGACCGGTGAAGGATGGAATCTCAGAGTCATTTTCATTTTCATTTCCCTGATGGATAAGGATGTTGAACATTTCTTTAAGAGTTTCTTGGCCATTTGAGATTTCTTTGTTGAGAATTCTCTGTTTAGCTCTCTACTCCATTTTTAATTGGATTATTTGGGTTTTTTTAGGTCTAGTTTCTTGAATTCTTTATATATTTTTTAGATCAGCCCTCTGTCAGATGTGAGGTTGGTGAAGATCTTTTCCCATTCTGGAGGCTGCTGTTTTGTCCCACTCCTCATACTAGGTCACCTTGCCCAGCTTTAATAAATGGGGATTTGGGTAGTCTTACTGAAGCTTGCTATGTCATGTTTTGTTGATATCCATGGGAGAGCTGCCCGTTCCTGAACAGAAACAGAGGAGGAGTGGATTGGCGGGTGGGTACAGGGAGGGGGCAGGAAGAAGGACTGGGAGGAGAGGTGGGTTGGGAAGCTGCAGCTAATTTTCTTTAATTAATTAAAGAAAAAAGTCAGTTTTCTACCTGTATATAGGAAATAAGGAATTCAAAATTTTAGTTTAAAAATATTTAGTATCACAAAAGAAAGATAAAATATTTAGATATAAATTTAACAAAACATGTGGGATCTATGTGCTGGAAATTTGAAAGTCTCTAAAAAAGGGTATATAAATTCAGAGATAGTTTGCATTTATATATTGAAAATCTAATATTGTTACAATGTCATTCTTTTTCCAAATTGGTCTGTAGAGTCCACACAATCACAACAAAATTCTGGCAAGCTATTTGTGGATATTAACAAATTGATTCTAAGTTATATGGAAAGAGAAAAGGTCTAGAATGTCCAACACAATATTGAAGAGCGACATTGCAACTGATAGTACCTACCTTCAAGACTTAACTATAATCTAATGTAATGTGGCATTGTGGAGAAAAAGACAAATGGGTCAGTGGAGCAGAATTGAAACCTCAAAATTAGGTCCACACAGATATACTGAATTGAAGTTTGACAAAGATAATTCAATGCAGAAATAATAATATTTTCTACAAACGGTACTAGAA